AGGCAGGAGGGAAGGCTGGCCAGAAGCTGAAAACTGTTGACATGACATGTGGATTCACTATTATTTTCTCTACTTTGGTGGATGTTTGAAAATTTCCGGGGTGGTTTTAAAGAGATAATGGGTGAAGCGTTCACAGCGGATGGTCACAGACATCATTGCCCTCCCTGGGGACCTCACCAAGGCCCTTAATGGGGTTATTACTGATTTGCTGATTTTGGTTGGCGTCCTGTCCTCTGCCAGGGTGGGATGGTGGATCTGGCCATGATGGGCTATGGATGGCAGATCCACAGTCATCAGCCCTCAAAGGTGCCCTGCCTCTTAGACCCCAGAGGCCATCTTCAAAGAACCCCTGGGGCATTGGGACAAGTGCCCGGTGTTCTGCTTCTGCCCAGGGCTGCCTCTGCCCAGGGCAGAGGCAGAATTGCTCAAACACATCTTTGGAGTTTTAGCAACTTGGATGCACCAGCCCCCAGCTTCTGATATCTTCCAGTCCCTTCTGCTACTTCCCACATGGGCCTGACCTCCCTCTGGGGCCATTTCCGCTGTCTACCAAATACCCTTGAAAAGAGCAACTGGAAGCTTGCCCGGGTGTGTCCTGTACTCTAGCCCTACTTTCTCCCCATCCTCTGCAGAGCTCAGGGAATGTTTCTAGCCACACCCCTCCCTACCCTGTTCCCCCTCTTCTCCCAGGCAGGGCCTCCACCTCCCTGCCCTCCTCTCTTTGCTCATCCCAGGCTGGCGTGGTAGAATTTTCATGCATGTCCTTTGATATTTGCTTCTCTAACCACTGCTGCTATGGCCCCCAGTCGCCACGTGAACCATGCTGCTGGTCAGCCTCCTGCAGCAGCGCCCTCTTCCTGTCTAACCTGTGGGCACAGAAATGTGCCCACAGATCACACCTAGCATGACCCATGGTGTCCAGACAGCCTCTACCCACTGGCCCCAGTGCCCACTGGATTGGTGCTCATGGCCTCCTGCCTCGCATGCCGAGATGTCACTACCTACGAAGCCCCTTCCCCCAGCCCCAGCACCCCAGCGCCCATTTGCTATGTGCAAATGCTTTTCTTTTGTTTCCATGTCAGCAAATGATGATATTTCTTATATTTTGGAATAACTGTAGATGTGCAAAGGAGTTATAAAGATCATTCTCAGATTTCCTGGCTAACCCTCCCCAGGATTCCCACAATGCAAATTAACATCCTACATTGTTGTTGTATGCACCAAAACTAAGATGCCACCATGGTTGCTGATGTCTTTTCAACTGGCTCTTAAGTAGGATGTCTGAAATTTCTCTACTTACCCTGCTGTGAAGAGAGAGAGACCCTTGGCCTGGCCCGAGTGTGCACCGTGGGTCCCTCCTGGCAAAGAGTGGATGTGACCAAACAGCTTCTAGAATGCCCTAAATTGGCTTTTGGTGACCTTAAAGCAGCCACGTCCCCAGCCTCTGCTCAGAAGGCTGAGAACCACGGCCTGTACCATGCTAGAAACAGTGACCTCATAGTTTGGTCCCAGGGGGGGGCCATGACCAGCCCAAGGAGAAAGGAAAAAGGATATCTATCAAAGGAAATAGCATTTGCCAAGTCTGTCTTGCTTCCAAGTCGAACTCACCAGCTAAAAAGGAAACATTTTCTAGTGGAAACGAAGGTAGGACGAGGGATGGTGGGCCCACCATCATCTGCCTCGCTTCCAGGAACAATTTATCAGGGTAGCGGAGCTGTCAGCGCTGACATGATAAGGAATAACACCACATGAATAATGCTTCTGCCAACACCAACTCCTTTAATTACAAGCCTCTTCTTTCCAGAAGAGAGACAGAAGATGCAAAAACACCAATTTCATGCACTTGTGCCTGAGTAATGTCTCTGTGCTGCTTTTTCCAGATGGCGACCTCCTCACTGGAGGACTAATGATGTGGGCATATTTAGGGAAAAACCAATAACGGAGTCTTTAACCTTCAACAACAAAAAGCGTGTTGTACAAAATGTTCCTGGGGATGCATTAGAAAATATCAATTACACTGCTCACTGAGGTGTAATCAGCTGTAATAATCAAAATTAATTTTTAAAAATAATTAAACAGACCCCAGGGCAAATAGTCAAAGCTCTCTTCCTATGACATCACAGTGCACACATGGACCCGAGAAAGTGCGCCTTCTGGCAGCGGCTCCCAGAGACAAGAGGGCTGGTGCAGGGTCTGCAGCTGCAGAGTTCATCTAGGCACGAGAAGGGGCACCTGTCTGCCCTCCTTGTGGACCATTCTGGCTCTCACTCCTAGCAGCCTGCTCTGCAGCAGGGGTGGTGTCCAACCAGACCGAGTTACCTGTCTAGGATGCTGCTAAGCCCAAGTACAGTATTTCGCTGCTGAAATGCCTTTAAAATGCATAAAGTTGGGGGCTTGCTTGTTTAGTTGTTTGTTTGGTACTGGATTTTGAACCCAGGAGCTTCATACTGAGCAGTATCCTTAACCCTTCTTTTAAATTTTTCATTTGAGGCAAGGTCTTGCTAAGTCTCTATGCTGCCCGGGTTGGGCTGGATCTTATGATCTTCTTGCCTCTGCCTCCCAGAGTGCTGGGACTACAGACATGTGTTACTATGCCCAACATGCATAAGGTATTTCAAGTTGTGGGAAAGATAAAGAAATCAGGTTGAAGAGCAAGTGAGAATCAAGGGAAGGAAGAGTACACATGTGTGCTTATAGGCGCTGTCCCTGAGACATGTGCAGTTATAAAGTCTGACCATGCTAAGCTTTCTGAGCCTCTGAGGATCCAGATCAAAGAAAAAGATCAGAGCCTCTCCCACTGAGGTGCTGAGAGTAGAGTTGCCTCAGTGCTAAAAGCAGAGGGAGGTCCCCATTTGGCTGTCAGGAAGTGGGGATGGCACAGTACCTGTGGCCCCCAAGGGGTTATGGACACCCAACCTGCACCTCCCCTTATGTGACAGTCCTCTCTGCCTGGTCTGGCTTGGCCTTCCCCAAGCATCACAGGTCCCTGTCCTGCCTCAGGTCTCTCATTGTTGACAAGGACAGCCTTGCCAACCCCCATCTCTACACCCAGGTCCTTCACAGCCAACTCCCTTAGCCTGCGGGATTGTTCCTCATGGCAAGCAGCACGCTGACACTTACAAATGTATTTACCTACATATTGTCCTCCTCACTCCCCGAGATCAGCTGTAGAAGGGCGGAGTTGGAGCCACCAAGCTTGGGCAACTCAGTGAGACTCCATCTCAAAATAAATCATTAAATAAGGGAGGGGGCTGGTGGCATAGCTCAGGGTGAAGGCCCTGGCTGCCACCCTCAAAACTACAACCTTGGTGCTTAGAACAGGGCTCAGATCTGGCACTTGATAAATGTCGGTTGGATGAAATGAATAAGGACAGTGTCTTCAAACAGCCATGTGCTTCAGTGTCCAATCTGGAAGAAGATGGGTCCCTTGCTCCCAGCTCCAGTGGCTATACCCCAGCAGCCTCATCAGTGCCAGCCTTCTGGATCCACATGTATGGATGCGAGGCTTCATCAGGCAGAGCAGCTACAGGCAGCCTGTAAGCCTCTTCTCTCCCACATCTAGACACCTGAGGCCACAGCGGACAGAGATTTGGAGCAAGGGCAACTTGAGGTCCTCCTATTTTTCCTAATATTATCAGGAAATCTGCAAGGAGTGCTGGCTGCCAGCTGCACTTCCACATTCCCAGGGTGGTTTGTCCCATTTAGAGAAAGAGATACAGACTCAGGAAAGCAAAAGAATTTGCCCAACCCCAAGGGCACGTTTAAGATCAACCACAACCCGCCCCTGAAATAAGTCCATAACCCAGCATTAAGATACAGGACTGACTGCTTTCCAAACACAACAACCTCAGCAGCATCTCCAGGCCCAGGAGTTCTCACAGAACCTGCCCCTCCCCACCAGGAGGTGGCGCTGGCTGTCTCCATGCCTGTCTGAAGCACTGACACAGAAGTTGGGTCCTCCAAGGCAATATGGCTTCTGCCTGGCATTCTCTCTAACTGTCTCTGTCCCCCTCTTTCCTGCTTGACCCTGTTGACCCTGCAGGGGGCTGGAAAGAAGCCTCGTTCACATGGAGAGGCTGTGTAGAAGATCCCACCAACACCCTAGCTGGAGTCTCAGGTCACAGCCAGCAGCAGCCCCCGGGTGGGCGTGTCACAGCCTCAGTGGAGCAAGATGCCCCCACTCTAGGTGTGCTCTACAATCTCCCAACGGCATACACAGTCACCAAATGTCATTCTTGGTGCCACTGAGTTTCAAACTGGTTTCCCACACAGCTTTGGAAAACCCCTGACTCTGCCCGGCACTGTCCCAAGGACCCTCCATGGTGTCTACCAGGAGAACCCAGTGGACCACCAGGGTCGGTGTCCTTCGCTGGGCTTATGTGCTCAAGGCCACTGCATGCACAGTGGACTACTGTCTCCTGACAGCATAGGGCACAGAACTCCCAAGGACTGGGTCCTGCCAGCTCTGCTTTTAGCATATTTACATTTTAGGTTTGATGGTAGAAGACAAAAAGACAGACTTTGTAGAGATGGGGTTGGGGCCAAGGGAAGGAGAAATGATCAAGATATGATATCTACATGTACCAATTCCTCCAAATGAATGTAACTATTATGTGTCCCAAACATACACAAATAAAAATCTCATTTATGTATAAAATGAAACAACTATAAAATGAGCTATTTATACACAAATCACAGTTTACCTAATTATTCCCCTTACTTTTAAGGGATTTTTCCCCAATCTTTTCAATACTAGGGAAAGCACTGAAATAAACACCTTTGTAAAATAAATAATAAACAAATGCACAAACGACATGCTACCTCTACATCACTCCAAGTAACACCAGCCTGACACCCGGGCCCCTGCACATGACTTCGGAGAAGCCACTTGAACACCTGCCACACCCAGAGGTACATGTGCACAGGTCACACAAGGTGACAGAGAGCACAGAGGAGTTGTGACTTGGGGCCTTCCTTGGGGACTCAGGGTGTGGGCTCACCTCAGCCCTGCACGTAGGGTCCTTGGCCTGGCGCCCCGGCATCAGTCGCATGGCTGAGGACAGGCTTCCACTCCATGACGAGACTTTGCTCTGCCGTGTGACATTCGAGCGGCTGGCCAGCGCCTTCTTCTCGGTTGCTGGGGGTGGGGAGCGAAGAACAACAGACCGGAAGTTGGGAGAAAGACAGAGAGCTGCCTGGTTCCCAGCCAGCCAGCCAATGGCTCTACTTCTGCTCCCCACTTCATCTTCTGAGCTCACCTAGTTAAGAGACATCATATAGGCTTGGGGGTCCCCACACCGGGCCTAAGACCTTAGCGCCATGGCTTGTGGATGTGTAGTAAGATGTTGACAACTTAGCCAAAGTGGCTGGGCTATAATTTCTCATTCTGTAAAGTGAGGATCATAGTATCTGAACTCACTGAGGTGTCATGAAGATTACATAAGCTTATATTCTTGAAGGAGCTGGAGCATGGTAGTGCATTTCTGTAATCCCAGTACTCTAGGAGATAGTGGCAGGAGGATCATAAGTTCCTACCCAGTCTGGACAATTTAGCTACTTAGTGAGGACATATTTCAAAATAAAAAATCAATAAAAAGGGTTGGGGATATAGCTCAGTGTAAAGGCCCTGCTTCAAACCCCAGTGCTATAAAGAATAAACAGGTGACACCTAAGTAATGCTGCCAGGCTTTCAGCATGGTCTCCTCCCACAGTGGGGTGACCTCTTCGATCTTCACTTCACTCTCTCCAGGTTTCACGGAGAGGTCAATCTTGAAGGTGTCTTCCAGCGCCTGCCTCCTCTGCGCCACGAGCTGCTGCCACAGAGCCTGAACAGTCTTCTTGATGTTGTGCTGGGCTGGTGAGAGAATGCAGGGCACTATCAGAAGGACCTTGATCTCCACTCAGAGAGCTAGGAGCAGACAAAGCTAGCTGCTTTTACCCAAATGCTTCTCCTGTAAGCCTTGAGCTTCAGCAGCCAGTACATAGAGCTGCAGCACTGATCTACTACTTCCAACACCCAAGCAAGCTGGCCTGTCCCACCTGCAACTGCCTTCCGCCGAGTCCTGTCAGCCTCCTGTGTCTAGGTCAGGAAAACACAACTGAGGATATTAGGGACAATGTCCCCACCTCCCCCATCCACTGGATCTCAGAGATGTTTTGTGTGAGACCAGCATGCAGCCCCATAGCTGCCCTCACAGCTCCTTCCAGCCTCCTCTTACACATTGGTTTATCTGGGCAAAGACACCAAGCCTAAGACTCCTGTCCTAGCACCAGGTCATTCCCAGCACCCACCTATCTCTATGTCCTGGATTTCCTCAGACCTGGATCAGTCTACTAGCCAGCTCTGCCTGCTCAGCCCATATCTGCAGCCCCTGAACTGTGCCCTAACTTCCTCTCACCTTTGGCCATCTCTCTAGGCCTAGCCCTCTAGGCTATTCTTACCCTATAGAGCCAGCCACTGCCTGGCCCAGCTCTCCAGCCATAACCCAAAGCATGCACATTTATGCTCTTGCAAACACTGCATGAGGACAAACTTTGAAGTCACAAGGTTTTGGGGCACAGGCTTTGAGTACCTGTCCTATATGACCAGAACACAGAGGTACTTGGCCTACAAACTTATATCACAGGGTATATCACCAGGTCAGTGGCACAGCCTATAAATCAAAGTGACAGAGGAAGGCCTATTGCAGCCCCCAGTTCCTGGAGACATAGAGAGAGAGAGACAGAGAGAGAGAGAGAGAGAGGGAGAGAGAGAGAGAGAGAGCGCTCCTGGATGCATTCAACTGGCTGCTATATATCTAGACATAACATCTATGTTATATATAAACTTTTAATCCCTTTAAGTTGATTTGAGATTAGCAAATCCAAGAATAAACTCCATAAAACACAAAGTCTTATAGAAAATAATGAGTGTATGTACTCCTTTCCTATTTTCTAGGGAAGAAGCTGAGGGGTGAGAAGGTAGTTGAACTAGGTGAGATGCCATGCCAGTTTCAACTCACAACAAGGTGCCCAGGGTTGCAGTGCGCAAGTCAAGCTTCTAGACTAATGATTGGAACCTATGGCATGTGCACCGCAGTGGGCTGTTTGTTTCATTGAAATCTCTAAAAGGTTCATCATCACTGTTCTAGACTAACCCAGTCCCACAGAGCTTTCTCTCCATCCATCCGTCTGTCTGTCCATCCATCCATCCATCCACCCATCCATCCATGTATTCCTTCCTATTCCATTTCTAATATACAAAGATTATTCCACTTAATTTCTACCAGAAGACTTGCTGTACTGCTACATCACTCTGGGACATCCTAGCTCCTCTTCTGGCCTTTGAAAATGTCCTCAACAGTTTTTCCTCCTTACTTGGGGAGAGATGAATGGAAGGCTGCAGGCTGGCAGGTACCATGGCCCATCCACTCCCCCACACAAAGAAACAAACAGCAAGTACAATGTACCATCACTCAGGCTCGGGACATTCTCTTCTCTTTTCTCATTCACTTCTTCGCTTGGGGAAAGGAAGACTTGGTGGTAAGGAGTCATTCGAGGTTTGGGCTCCAATCCGAATCCTTCTGGGTAACTGGTGGCAGACAAGAGGTTTTTCACCATCAATTCAAGTTTCTTTAGGATCCTTCTAAATCTGCTCTTCAAACTCATACAGAGCAGTATGGAAAAAAGGGTCAAGTCTACAGTGTAAAGCAGACCCATTATAATAACTTCCACAGAAGTTGTTGTACAGTGGTTTTCTGGATGGTAGGAAGAACACCTCCTCTTTGCATGAAGTCCTATGTGCAGAAATCCTGCCCGTGCTTCTAGCAGGCCCCATGAGCCCTCTCCTGGTTCCTTGGTCATTTCTTTCTATGAACTCCTAAAGCATCAAAATCTCTTTGGTTTGGAACTAATTTCAGCCCTCCTTCCCTAGCTTCATGGGTGTGCAAACTATACAACTGCACAGGGTCCTACACTTAGAAGAGCTCCTGCTTGGTCTCTGCTGTCACCATCTTGAAAGTCTTAGTAATTTTTTAAATGAGCCCCATATTGTAGTTTTTCCAGGATCTCCCACATGATGGATCCAGCTCTGGGTAGACATGGTAGCCTATTCACTGGGCTCCCCAACAACCATGTGCTCTGGGGTCCAAATGTGTAGGACATGGCTGGGTGCCCTCCTCCAGGGGTCACCTCAGCCTCTTGAGCAGAATAAACATTTAGCAAAGGCTTGGTGACTGAACCTACAATGGAAAATATATGAGGACACCAATCCTAAGATTTGTAAACTAGGTCACCTTTAGAGGTTGGAGCCATTTTGCCACACAGAGGGGCTTGGGGGGCATAGGAAGAGCACAGTCTACTTGGTCTTCTGCTCTTTTTACCTGTGTTTTCAACGTGAAATACAAAAAGAAAAGAAAAACTCCCAAATGTAAACACACAATGACAATTGGATCTTTCATTTCAGACCAAAAAAAGGGCAAGGGCCCCATCCTTGCTGGGGGGTCTCCCCAGAGAGTTTTAAGACGAGTCAGGTCTCATTCTTTATAATGTTCAATGGTCACAGATGCAAGATTAAGGGGCTTTATTTTTCCATGTGCTATAATTTATGATTTTTACTGGAATAAATATGATCAAGAAAAAAACAACAAGAGCTACTCCAGAGGCTGAGGCAGGAAGATTGCAAATTCAGATGGCCTGAGCAACTTAGTGAGATCCTGTCTCAGAAATTAAACAAAAAATTTAAAAGGGTCTGGGAATGTAGCTCAGTGTGATAGTCCTGGGTTCAATCTCTGGCAGCAGCAAATAAAAGAGAAGAAAAGAGAAAGGAGGGGAAGGGAGGAGGAAAGGGAAAGGGGAGGAAAGAGGGAGAGAAGGAAAGACAGAAGGAAGGAATGAAGGAAAGACAGAAGGAAGGAAGGAAGGAAGGAAGGAAGGAAGGAAGGAAGGAAGGAAGGAAGGAAGGATGGAAGGAAGGAAGGATAGAAGGAAGGAAGGATAGAAGGGAGAAAGGAAGGATAGAAGGAAGGAAGGAAGGAT